AAAGTAAAATTGGTAGTCCAAGGATGTAGGCATACCTTGCCAAGTCTCTATAGGACATAAAGCAAGTTTTTCCTACTGAATTTAATATGATACTTACAGAATTAGCGAACTTTTGTGCTCTGAAAAAGTAAGCTAATTCCCTACCGTTGTATGTATCATCATCTCTGACTGACGTGTAGGGGTGCGAGGTGTCAACTGGTGACGAGAACTGCTGCTGAGGTCCCAATTCAGCAACTAAAGTTCGAGCTAGAGGAACTATGGCCCTCTTTGTCCTCCTACAGTCAGATTGCAGAAGATTGGGTACTCTTGACCCGGGGCAGACCACAGTACCAGGGTACCAATATGATGATCTGTCAAAAATGAGAAATATCCAAGGGACAAAGATGGTAAACACGAGTAATAACACGGAGGGAGAGATGACCAATTAAGAGTATGACTGCGGCCTACAGTCACCACGTAATCCAAAGTTGTCTCACCTTCACCATATGTTACTCTCGTAATGCACAATACACCGCACCTTATAAAAAATGAAATTGAATATGAAAAATAGTAAAGCTACGTTAACAAAGTTAAATACGCTTACCATAAATTACCACTTGGCACCAGTACCTGAGTGAAGCTCCTAGGACAGGCCCCCATATAATATGTGACGGTAACGCGTTGGTGTTCGGCTGTTCAAAGCTAGGGGTATGGCCTCGTCACATAGTATTAAAAAAAAATAGAAAATCTGGAACTTCGTCTGTGGTAAGGTAAGGAGAAGACACACAAAACACAAGTAAATTTTAACAATGGAATTTTAATTACGTTAAAGAAATAAAACATGAATAAAATGGACAAACAAATTCGTATAATAAAATCAATCAATCAAAATAATAAGAATAATTAAATGACACAATGAAAAGTTACGTTAAGACAAAATAACAAGAAGTGCAATATTCAAGTATATGAAAGGTGCTGGAATATTGGCTTTAAGCTATCACCTCTCTCAGTATACGTACGCTAAAGCTTACGTCTAGCAGGGAGAAGTGTTAACTGTGAAAGCACGGAATATTCTGAGGACTGAGGTCGTGGCGGCCCCAGACATCAAGTAGTATGGGGGGGGTGAGTGCAGTTGCAGCCAGACCGGCGACCAATCAGCGGGGAGCCGGCAGTAAGACAGGTAGTTTGGCGGTTTGAGTCTGAGCAGGTGTCCCTGGCTGCATACGTTTTGCTCTCTGGCAAACCTTGCTGGTGTTGTTGTCGTTGTTGGACATTTCTTCCATAGTAGTTTTATATAGTTGTAACGACGTAATTGTGGAGGGAAGAGCAGGCTCAATCTCTTGAAGGAGATTATCGTCACAATATATATATATATATATATATATATATATATATATATATATATATATATATATATATATATATATATATATATATATATATATATATATATACACTTACCAAAAGAATAGGTGTGGTAGGAGAAGAAAATATCAGTGTTCAATGAGGATCCCCAAGGTCATCTCTGAGTACTCTTTATTTTCTTCTCCGAGGCTATGGGTCCCTACACTTGCTTCAGAGGTGGTACCCCTTATATTTTTATATATAATTTATATATATATAATCACCTCATTCTTTGATTAGATGAAATACTATGTCCAAGATTACCATCAGGGTGCCGGTGGGATGATGGGGGAAATTACCCTCAGCTGCCATCATCTTTTGTCCGGTCATGATGGTTGAGTGGTTAGGGTGTCCTGTACACCAGTTGCTAGTGCTTCTGGCAGTATTGGTTCGAGTCATTTCTGGGCTGTTGTTTTCGTTTATATATATATATATATATATATATATATATATATATATATATATATATATATATATGTATATATATGTCGTACCTAGTTGCCAGAATGCACTTCTCGCCCTACTATGCAAGGCCCGATTTGCCTAATAAGCCAAGTTTTCCTGAATTAATATATTTTCACTAATTTTTTTCTTATGAAATGATAAAGCTACCTATTTCATTATGTATGAGGTCAATTTTTTTTATTGGAGTTCAAATTAACGTAGACATATGACCGAATCTAACCAACCCTACCTAACCTAACCTAACCTATCTTTATAGGTTAGGTTAGGTTAGGTAGCCGAAAAAGTTAGGTTAGGCTAGGTTAAGTGGGTTAGGTAGTCGAAAAACAATTAATTCATGAAAACTTGGCTTATTAGGCAAATTGGGCCTTGCATAGTAGGCTGAGAAATGCGTTCTGGCTACTAGGTACGACATATATTTATATATATATATATATATATATATATATATATATATATATATATATATATATATATATATATATATATATATATATATATATATATATATATATATGTCGTACCTAGTAGCCAGAACGCACTTCTCAGCCTACTAAGGCCCGATTTGCCTAATAAGCCACGTTTTCATGAATTAATGGTTTTTCGACTACCTAACCTACCTAACCTAACCTAACCTAACTTTTTCGGCCACCTTACCTAACCTAACCTATTAAGATAGGTTAGGTTAGGTTAGGTAGGGTTGGTTAGGTTCGGTCATATATTTACGTTAATTTTAACTCCAATAAAAAAAAATTGACCTCATACATTATGAAATGGGTAGCTTTATCATTTCATAAGAAAAAAATTAGAGAAAATATATTAATTCAGGAAAACTTGGCTTATTAGGCAAATCGGGCCTTGCATAGTAGGCTGAAAAGTGCGTTCTGGCTACTAGGTACGACATATATATATATATATATATATATATATATATATATATATATATATATATATATATATATATATATATATATATATACATGTATATATATATATATATATATATATATATATATATATATATATATATATATATATATATATATATATATATATATATATATATATATATATAGTTGCAGTTGACGATCATGAAACTTTATTATTGGTATGTGGAAAATCCATAGAGAAATGGGAAATGGAGATGAACGTTTCGGCTGATCAAAACAGCTGTGAACACCGGAGTGACTGAGAGAAACAGAAGGAAAGTGGAGGCCAACAACTGCAACTAGACCACCCATCCCCAGGAAAAGATTTACCCAGAAATAGGTATAGATTAGCTTAGAACAGTCAGAAGGAACAAGCGGTCAGAGAATAAGTATGAAAGATTAAACAAAAAACCTCATTAAACAGACATATAATATTTGATTATAATATTGTATTGAGACATTGTAACCCTTCCTTTCAGAGTTTTTTCTTAAACTATTGTGCAATATTATAACTTAAAAAGAGTGCTAACATCGACAAGATTTGGGCACTGATTAGGGCAGACTCAATCAAATTCCAATCCACGAAACTGCTGCAACTGGTAATACTTTTCGCTCCTTCCCAATTAATAGTGTGTGATCACTCATACTTGTATGTAGATACAGTGCACTAAGCGTTTGGGCAGTTCTAGTACTATAAGCATGTTGGGACAAATGCAATTGTAAGGATTTTTCTGTTTGTCTGAAGTACACAAACTCTCAATCATTGCAGGGAATCAAACACACACAACCTGCTGTACCAGGGGAGTTTTGTATTAAAATGGACTTGATCGTACTTTTATTGAATACCAAATTAATATTAATGTTCTTAAAAACCGGGAAAATTTTTTCAATTCTTACCGCATAAGGAACCAGCAATGAGTTTTTGATTTCTGGTTTAGCTTTGAGGATATGATAAAACGTACGTTAAGCTTGCCCGAACGTGCACTACAAAAACACATTAGGGGATTGTAAACTCTTCCCAATTTCTAAATGGTAATAATCTCTTCATCAAAAAACTCGGGGCTGCACACCCTCAAGGCTCGAAGAAACATTCCTGAAAATACTGCCTGTTTAACTTTATTAACAGTTCTAGAATAGTGGCCTGGTTCATGGGTTATCTTGAGGTTATCTTGAGATGATTTCGGGGTTTAGCATCCCCACGGCCTGGTCCTCGACCAGGCCTCCTTTTTGTTAAACACCCCCAGGAAGCAGCCCGTAGCTGTCTAACTCCCAGGTACCTATTTACTGCTAGGTAACAGGAGCATCAGGGTGAAAGAAACATTTTGCCCATTTGTCTCCACCTCCACCGGGGATCGAACCCGGAACATCCTGACTACTAAATCGAAGCGCTGTCCACCCACCTGTCGGCGCCCCAGCTGTCCAGCACGGGTTGTAGTAACATTGGTTGCTGTTCAGCGCTAGTTCAATGTCACCTTGAATTGATATATTCACTAAATTTCAGTAGTCATTAATTCTAACAGCTCCCAACTAAATTATCATTGTGTCTTTCACGGCAGTTTTAGCTACTACAATGTCAGCCTTCAACTAGGTGACACATCACAAAATGAACTAAAACTACACAAGGTCTTCAAAGAATAGTGGTTTACAAGTAGCATTCTCTGATGAATTTGTTGAAATATCAGGAATTAAGAGTTTGGGTCAAGAGGCAAACTCAACGTAAGATCTGTCATGACATCTCGATGCCAGACAGATTGTTCAGAGCCGCTTCAGCACGTTGCTATAGGTCTTCTGATTGGCTGGTCTCCTGGTTCTCTGACAATCATATACCATCTTTCATTCTCATTGATCAAACCGTGTTACTTACAGTAATGACACAATTAGCACAATTAGGCGTTAACAATTTGGCCAAAATAACAGATTATCTGGAATTATATCATAGATATAAAATTTTCTTAAATTAACTAGAGCTAATTTAAAATTAGTGTGCAGTCAATATTGTGGTGACAGTGGGTGTATTAAGCCTATAGGGACCAATAGTTAAGGTGGACAGCGCCACTATAACTGTAACCAACTCCATGAGTAAGGGGAGACCCCTCAAGAAGTCACAATTAATTTAAAATTACAAAAATTTTGAAAATTTTTATTCAAGGTAATACATTGTGGCCTTATTAGTATTATTTAGCTGACAGGCTATTTTTTTTTTTTAATCTTAACATCTAGTTGGGGTTAAGTAAGAGGATGCCGCTACCAGCAGCTATGAGCAGGACCGCAACGGCGAGCAGGACCGTAGTGGTGAGCAGGACCGCAGCGGTAAGCAGGACCGTAGCGGTAAGCAGGACCGCAGCGGCGAGCAGGACCGTAGCAGTGTTGGGACAAGTTGTTATATTCATTCGTCTTGTGACGGCCAGTTCACCGCTTATTCCTCAAGGTCGGTAACTGAAAGCAACATTTTGTTTTCATATTCGAGAATTACAAATCGTTTGAAAACCTTTGTTGTATTATCTATATATGTTAAATAATCATCAGCACAAAACTATTTCAACCCATTCTCTGAATTAACAGTACGATTTAACACTAAGTGTAATAAGTACATTTCCTGACTGTCATACACAGAACATAATTGCACTTATGGGGCTGTTACATTTACCTCCCCATTTATTCTCCTCGTTTTCTGTTGACACTTAGAATTTTAGGATGAAGTTTTCAAGTTCGAATTACTATACCAAAGTTTTAAATATCAGGAATTTCTTTTTTAGTTTTACTAAACAATAGGGATTTTATACAAAATTGGAAAATATCCTAAGTTACTATACAATTTATTGATATATTTTAGTTTTGTTTTATTAGTTCCATAAAACTATAATATCAATATAGCTATAGGTTAAGTACTAAGTGTAATTAAGAAGCAATAAAATTATTATCTTTAAAAACTAAGACGGTTAGGTGAGGTCGTGGTTTTCTATTCAGTTTTTCAAGTAAACTCAAATATTCACAATATATTTGACAGTACGATTTATTACTAAGTGAAAATAAGTACAATTCCTGACTGCTATGAATAGTACATAATTGCACTTATTTGTGCTCTTACATTTACCTCCCCATTTTTGGAGGACGGGCTGACTAATTTTGGAATAAATGACACTAGAAAATTTGCCACTAATAACCAAAGAACTTGTCTACTTTTCAGAAAGAAATTATCAAGTCGGTATATATGTAAATGTATAAAATTGTTTCAATAGAACTTTTTACTTGAAGAATAGAGTATAATTTTAATGAATTTTAACTTTAATTTCAGAAACATTTAAATATATTTCGAGGAATTATTGGCCTCCAGGCGCGGTACTTGAAGCTACTTCACAGCCAAGCTGCTCCGTCATTATCGTCCACCAGGCCCTCAGCATCCCCTCATCACATTTCATTGCAATTATTACAAATAAGGTATATATTAATACACTAACAATTCCAACCTTCATTAAAACACCCTCTACGGATGTTATGGACACCTCAAACGAGGAAATCTTAGTAGGAGCTCCACCGCCGGACCACAAATACGACAACTCTTGGTACAAGACCTCCTCATGGAGGCCACCTCACCAAACTCCAACGACAGCACAGCTAGCCAAAGTCTCAGGCAAAGAAAACAAGTATTTGTGCCTAGAGCTAGTGGTCTACACTAACCCCACAAGCTCCATAACTGGTTCATCCAGCCCTCCAGGACTGAAGACTCACATCCTTCCCCAGATCTCTAGTATCAGTCATTGATATAGATAATTGCTCCAAAGAGCCTCCACTTACGGGTTCACCATAGTCCGTGCTACTTGGAACTTTATGTTCTGAGTAGCTGAATCTAAAACAACAGCAACATTTATTCTAACAGGATGGGAACATTGCAGCAGTCACCATGCTAAAACCCAACCAGCTTGTGTTTAGAGTCTCCATAAGGCTGTTTAGTTGAGGCACGAACATGCATTGCTAGTTTCACAGACCAGAAGGAAGTAGTTAAGCTAGATTATAAAATGCCTTTTATCATTTTTGAAGAGACGCTGTTCTCATATTTGTTCATAGCCAATTATCTCCTAGTAATCCATTCGTCCAGTCATGTTACAGTGGCGAATCTAAGGTTCTCTTTGGGAATATGAAATTAATTAGTGTGAAGGTATGCACCAGTGCGATTTCTTAGCACCACCTTCTTTCTTGCTTAGTCATTAAAGAGGTCATTGATTGTCGACCAAGGAAGCTAAACATTTGGTTTCTTGATAATGGCACTCTTGCCGGTAACATGGAGCCCTCCTGGAGTGTATCAATACTTCAGGTGTCCACTTGAGTTGCCGGCAACGACGATCCTAGATGCCAAAAATTCAGTTACCTGTAACTGAATAAGTAATAATCCTGAGTAACAGAATTCACACAATCGACTCTTATGATGCCCTTTACTTTCTCTCAAGACGCTTATCGCTACATAATCTAACTTTCTAAGATGTTGTCTATCCAAGGGATTGCTTTGCCCACCTTTCTTTCTTCCTCCTCTGCATGGAACAATCCTGTATAGAAAATCCTACAAGAGCCCCATGGTGATTGTTCAGGAACTAACCTTTGGTGACTGTCTGAACGAGTGAGGTTGCTTTATCCTTAAAGAATGGCACACAGCTGGTGCGGATGTAGATGTGTGCATCGACCCTGGCTGTCACCTGTAAACACTCAGGGGTTGGGCAAGCATGTGGCAGGGCTAACCACAGGGAAGCAGTAAAGATGCTTCCAGATGCCTAAACAAGTATAGGCATCTGGAAAATCTGTACACATTTGTTGCTGTAGCATCTAAGATACTTGGCCACTGGGGCAAGAGGGCAATGATCTTTCTCAAGGTATTGGGTTCTAGGCACATTGACTTTACAAGATTCCCCAGAGCTGCCAGCTTTCTGTTTCAGTGCCTGAGTGTAGCCGTCCAGAAGTGCAGCGCTTCAGGCATCCTCAATTTCTTCCTTAATCTTCATCAATCAATCAATCTACAATTCAGTTACGGGCTATTCATTCCCGTGTTCTTGATGGCACGGGAATGATCTTCATCAATCTTCATTAAGTTAGAAATCTAAATTATAAGTATACTCAATGGGAGCCAAATGAATTAATTTATGTCTAGTGATTACAATGGATGTATATATTATCAAAAATAAAGTTTTCAGTGAATGTTTAGTTACTCGTCTGTGAATGTAAATAAGAAACATGTAAACTATATTATTATTATTTTACATGTGCGTCGGTCAGCTAGTGGCTCCTTCAGGAATATCAGTGTGGGAGGTGGCAGCGGACGGCCAGGACGCTAACATGACGCTAACGCAGCTCCCCCACGTGGTCGACCAGGCTCGGCGGGTAGGTCACTCTCACATTACTGTTGATGTGCGTACTTCACACTCACATTACTGAGGACGTGGGAAGGTCACTTTCACATTACTGTTGACGTGGGTAGGTCACTTTCACATTACTGTTGACGTGGGTAGGTCACTTTCACATTACTGTTGACGTGGGTAGGTAACTCTCAAGTTACTCCTGACGTGGGTAGATCACTCTCACAATTCTCTTGATGTTGGTAGGTCACTCTCACATTATTGTTGAAGTGGGTAGATCACTCTCACAATATTATTGACGTAGGTAGGTCACTCATGTTACTGTTGACGTGGGTAGGTCACTCTCACGTTACTGTTGACGTGAGTAGGTCACTCTCACATTTTTGTTGACGTGGGTAGGTCACACTCACATTACTGTTGATGTGGCTAGGTCCCTTTCACATTATTGTTGACGTGGGTAGGTCACTCTCACACTATTGTTGACGAGGGTAGGTCACTCTCACATTATTGTTGAAATGTCACTCACGTTATTGTAGACGTGGGTAGGTCACTCTCACGTTACTGCTGACGTGAGAAGGTCACTCTCACATTACTGGTGACGTGGGTAGGTAACTTTCACTTTGCTGCTGACGAGGGTAGGTCACTTTTGCATTAAGATTGACGTGGGTAGGTCATTTTCACATTACTGCTAACATGGGTAGGTCACTCTCACATTACTGTTGACGTGGGTAGGTAACTTTCACCTTGCTGCTGACGAGGGTAGGTCACTCTCACACTACTGTTGA